TTGGCCTATTTTCTTAGCTGAAGTTTGATTTCCCTTCTGCTTTACTGATACCTTAAATTAAGACATAAAGGAATATTTTCCAAGGAAGAGCAATTCACTGATCTGGGATCAGATTAGGACTCTGCAAGTTTTCATGGAGTTTTCTTTGCTGTTATGCAAGGGTATGAGAGGGGCTGGGGGATAAAAGCAGCCACCCTTGAATTTACTAGCATCACCCTCAATTCTGGGTCCAATCAGGAAGGATAGATGGGCCATTAAGGGCCACCCTGATCCCACAGGCCCAGCCCAGCCTGACTTACATGGCAGGCAACTGGGCTTCCAATCACCGGCCATTGCCTGATAGGTATAAATGCCAAATTTGTATCTTCCCCACAGTGTGATGTGGGCACAAGACTCTTTGGCCCCTCCTTGTGTACCTCATTCCTCCTGTTTAGTGCTATCTTTGTGAGTCCTAAGCTAAGCTAAATACCTACTACTCCCTATTTCTCTCGGAGTAGCCACATCATCAGACTTGAAGTCTAACATCCCCAGGTTATAGTTGTCTCTCTACCTGCCGTTCTCCTTCCCACACCATCTTCCTGGCAGAGTGCCCTTTGGAAAATTAAATATTTCTTCCAGATAGAAACAGAGCATGGAATGGCATCAGATTCATTTATACATCATTGGAAGTGCTAGAAGAGAAGGGTCAAAGGTAACCTTTGTAAACTGAAAACTGTGTACTTTTAAAATGATAGTGCTCAACGTTAGTGGGGTCATAGTAAGAAGGATTTCCTAGGGTGGTTGGGAATGCAATTGATAGAGCAGTTTTTCAAAGACTACTTGGCAGGCTATGTCAAGACCCTTAAAAGAGGCTTCTAGTCTTTGACCCACCAGCTTTACTTCCGGGGATTTATGCTAAGGAAACAATTGGTGACACAGGCAGTGATCCTCTATGAGGATGTGGCTGCAGCACTATTTATAATAGGTAAAGGGGGATAGTGATCTGAATGTATGCAGTAAGAGAATGGTTACATAAATCAGGGTATGCCATATAGCAGAATACCTTGGAACCACTGAAAAATATATCAAGGCTATGCAACGACATTGGAAAATCTTTATTATATTAAGTGATTAAAAGGCCAGGCTTCTAATTGTGTACATAGTATCATGTCCCCAAAGTGATGAGGCACATGCTAAGATGTTAGCAGTGGTTATCAGTGGTACAAATTACATATGACTTTATTACTCCTCTTCCTGACTTACGATATTTTTCAGTTTTCTGCAAAGCCAGCTCTAATTTTGATTATCAGAACTTAGAAAGATGAACTTTCTTCATAATGGTCAGTTTACCTCTCCAGTAAGAGCATCTTTCCTCTCCAAGACCATAGTGTGGGGACCAGAGAGGATCTGCCACATCCATGGTCACGTTGGAGCCTGCCTGGGAGGCGCTGTCCACAGCGTGACAGGCATGCCCTGGCTGGTGCACCAGACGTTCCATCATTCAAGTGAGTCACTGCAGAAGGGTGTCAAGCTGATAATGTTGCTACACACTGTACTTGAACTATCAGCCACAAGTCCACATGCTGCCAAGCCTTTTAGCCTTATCTTCCTAAACCGTTATTCTTTCACTGTCCAGTAAGTGTAAAAGGGACTGACTGGGACTGTCTGACTCCTTTTGAGGACACTGGGCCAGCACACTACAGCTGATACAAGCCTTCCAATTGGATGTAAACCAGACCAACAAATGTTTCTTCCATGCTGAAGTTGAAGCTGCCATTGTTTCTGTAGTTGGGCTTGATGAGGGAGCCTGGCAGGACCGCAGGAATATTTAGGTGTTCAGCCCAAAGACACCCCGCTGGACTTAGGGTTGTAAAGAAGGCTTTAGGGTTAGGGATCATTTGCTAAAAGTGTAGTGAGGAAGTTATGTTGTCCTATCTTAATTTCCATCATTTGTTATCTTTGGCCTCATTACTGGGAAAAGAGGTTGAGAATTGAGAATTCCTTATTGAAGATTTTAAAGCAAAGAGTGAAATTGACCCTTTTTATTTATTTATTCATTTATTTATTTTTGTTGTTGGCTGTTTTGTCTTGGATTTTTATTGGTTGAGATTTTTTGTTGTTGCTAACTGTTATCATTTTTATAAGTAACTTATAATCAGATACTGCTGTAGTAAAGGATGTAAAGGGCTACATCATCCCTGTGTACTTTTTATCCTACTTACATGTTGTATGAATTAAATCAAAACTAAATATATGGAGGACCATATCTGTGTATATAGGACTTCTGCTGCTACAGGTATCATTACAGTACATAAAAAATGTTCAATAGTATTGTTGATAGTGACACTTATAATATCTCTAAGGTACAAATAAACAAAAGATGTAATTCCTTTAGTAGTTGAAAAAGTCACAGAAGTATTCTGGCATATGCATTTTATTGTTATACTAACTCAAACATAGTGGTAATAGATTTTAAATTGTGGTCCCTTCATAGCAAATGAATGTATTGCTATGACTAAAAAACAAAGAAATTAAATTCTGTTGTTAAAATGCAGTTGATAGTGTGGACCAAATAGTAACTTCTTATAATAGTTTTGAATACTCCACATTCCAGCCTCACCCGCAGATAATTTCAGCCTTGTACTGCTGACCAAGAACCACTTAAATAGCTGAGGATGTGAAAAAACATTCAGAACCCACAGTGTACACTAGATTATTCCTTTAGCCAAAAATATAATTCTTAGTGCAGATGGGATAGGAAGCTGGAGGTATTTCCTATATATAAAAGTCACTTTAAAAAATGTTGTAGGGACTTTTTTGATTGTGTTGTGGTACTACTGACCAAAGGAACATCCCTCTGCGCCTGGGAAGTTCTCTTGAACCTCCAGATTGCTCCTGGTCAGACTCAGGTTCATGAGCTTGGCCTCAGTTTGGAAGTCAGTGTCACTCCTTGCCTACTGGGACATTATCTAGGGGCCAGTTGAAGGACTGCATAGTAGAAGTGAGGTGGTGCTGCTCCTAAGACTTAAGGCATAATTGAGTCAAGAATAGGTATTACACCAATAATAGAGTAACTTATCCCTTGGTAGATGAATTTTACAGCCTTATAGTTGTTTTTTAATCTGTCCATCTTGTCAAATATACTTTAAGTTCTTTGAAGTCAGTGACCTTAGCAAATCCTACTTATTGTCTTCATCATTCTTGGTTCTCAATGATGAATCTTCACTGGCTTGCAAAAAATGTTTTAAAAAAGAATCATATCCTTTGAATTTACTTTCTTCCCCTACATGAATTCCATGTGCTATATGACTCTATTAGTCTGTTGGAATTTATACTGTGTTGAGTCTGTCTGTTGTTGCATTCCCATGTTCTCTTGCAAATGTGGTGGGTATCTAAAGGAAACTGATAAGTCAGTGATTAGGAAGATTGTTAATGCTATGGTTGGGTCTGTCAAGAAGCTTGGTAGAGCCTAAAGGAACAGAGCAAGACCTGCTATCCCAGAGACAGTACACTGGTACCAACAGCTCAGGGATTGAACTTTGAACCCCAGCCCTGCCACGTACAAGCTATGTATCCTCAGGCAAGCCTCACCATAGCCCAAGTTTTCACACTTGTGAAATGGAAATTTAATAGTGCCTGTGTGTAGGCTTGTTGGGTGAGTTTAGTGAGATTCATTAGTTTACTTACTAGTCATGTATTAAATAACTACATGCACTATTTTAGACAATGGAGATATAGCAATGAGCAAAAAGGGATAAAATCTCCATTCTCATAGGATTTACATTTAGAAATATAATACATATAATAACATCTGGTAAATGTTTAATCATATTCATCTGAGGATAACTGGCAAACCTTTTACTATATGCTTCTGTAGGGGTTCATGTTATAGCAATAGGTAGTAAAGATCATTAGGGGGTCTCATATCTGAATTATTGTAATCCTGGGGAAGTCCCATTAAGTAGAACATGTATGTGTGCTTGCTAAATCACAGTCTGCTTAGAAAAACTCTTCCCTTTGGATTGGATTTCTGTCATTTTCATCCCCAACAGGTGCTTAGTCTGAACAGTCCAGCAGACAACTAAGGTGGTGGTGTGGCTGGTTGGTGTCTACATGTTCTCAGCCATCAGTGTTTGATTTAATGTTTTGTCATGGAGTTGCCAAGTTGTTGTATAATTTGTCAAGTAAGCCAGCAGTCTAGCATAGCCAATGAAAATCCACAAACCATATTTTAGTGAGTATCTTCAACCTTTCCTCTCCTAACCCTTGATCAGCCACCCATCAAAGAACCAAATGGACAAATTGAAGGTTTTGATTACTTTTTTTCAATTAACTTTCCACTGGGGTTTTTCTTTGAGCAGCTGAATGCCCAAAATCCATGAAAGAAGAAAGGCAGGCAGGCCAGGACAGCAAACCTCACAGTTGCATGCTGTCTCCATGGAGGTGTGTGTCCATACTGCCTCCTTCCCCATCATGTTTCTACTGCAGTGCTTCAACTCTCCAATGGCACACAGCCTATTTAGTTAAAAATGTAAGCAAGAAATTGTTTTCTGGCTGAATGGCCTTTGTGACCCAGAAAAAAAGGGTCATTTCTGCTGAGACATAACTTTAACAACATATAACAGTGACACTGAAGGCTGGTTATGACTGAGTCCTGTGTGAGAACAAGGCTGGGTGATAGGATGCAGGTGTGGAAACACCTGTGCATGGGTACAGGGCATTGTTCACTGATGGTCAGCAGTCCAATGGGCATGAGTGAAGAGGCTCCTATCACCTAAAAAGCAGTTGTCCTACAGAACAAAGAGACATGTTTTCACTCTGAGGAATTCAGAGCCAGCATTCCTTGGAAGATGTGGAGGTCTAGTCTGGAGAAGTGTGACCTGGCACTGGCAATATGTACCTGCGTTTCAGTGCTTCTGCATTGTACTCCAGCAACCATCATTTGGCCTCCATGAACCTCCCATGCTCCCACTGTGGTTTCCCTGTGTGCTGACAAGTTTTCTGGTTGTTATGTCTTGCAGCCCCCCGAATCCAAGCCCAACTTCACCCCTCTCGCCATCTTGGCCCATGTTCTCGGCGCCATCCAGCCCTATGCCCACCTCATCCACGTCCAGCGACTCATCCCCCATCAGGTCTGTTGCAGGGTTTGTTTGGTTTTCTGTTGCTGCCGTTGTTCTCTCATTGGCTTGGTCCTCTCTTCATGCAGTGTTCAGCCTCCTCGTCAACTTTGTTCCCTGCCATCCAAACCTGCACTTGCTTTTTGACAGGCCAGAAGAAGCAGTTCGTGACGACTCCAGGTAAAACCACGGATGATGATCAATCTGTTGCCGTTTATCCAAAGCTGGTCAGGGACAACAGTGACCTCCTCTGCTCACCTGTGGTTCCATCCTAAGAGACCAAAGCCAGGAGGGTCCATTTGCATGGCCCTGCATGGCATTTTTCATGCCCTTTCTAACCTTAACCCACGTTTCTGAATTAACCTCTGGTGCCTGGAGTTTGGGGATAGGATACCTCCTGAATGATGTTCCTGTTTTGATGGCTCTCTGATTCATTTTGACTCTCTGTACTTTAAGAAAGTATTCAATGGAACAGTGTTGAGACATGGGCCAGCCTTTTCTTCTCTCATTTTTCTCTGGTAGCATTAGGAAACTTTTATTTGTGGGTTTGGGCCACGAGCCCTGAACTGTGACGCCTGGTCTCTGAGACTAGATCCACTGGGTGAGAGATGAATATAACACAGAATAAAAGATTGAGACATGAAGCAAATTCTCTTTAAATTGCTCATGGCTTATGCCTCCTTTTCTCCTTATACTCTAGTAGCCTGGGATCCCAGGCTCTGTGTCATGAATCCTGAGTATTTGTGGAAACAGGTACCATCTCTTTTTGAGGGTGAACAGCTTAACCTAGTTCTCCCCAAGGGTCATGCTACAGTTTTCACTGCCTTGGTGACTTCTATAGTTAAGTGACACACTTGTTTGCTCTGGAATGCTTTATAGGAAAGAAGCTCTCCAAATCCAGTAAAAGAATGAATAAAGATCCTGCAGAATCCCTCTGCTGTGTAGGCCCAATCATGGGTCCCTTTCAAACTTAGTCTACTTTCAGAGAACCAAATGTATAGCCCAGTTACAACCATTATAAGCATTTGAGGCTTTGGCAGGATTTTCTCATCCATCTTTTTCTCATAAGAGGCAGGTCCAGCAGAGAAGCTTAAATAATTTATAAAGCTGACTCTGACTTTGTAAAAAAAGAAATCCCATGCTATTTATATACACAGAAATATACACACCTTTATTTCCCTGCCCCCAGGCATTTCACATCTTTTGCTTCATTCTATCTTCTTGAGGCAATGAGAAAAGAAATGGCCAGAACCCAATGGTAGAAAAAGAAAATGGAGAGGTGACTTAAACATGGTCACTTTACAAAATGAGAGCCAATACAGAATTGGGGCATTTTCTCCCCTCGACCCAGCCCTCTTGCTCCAAACACATGGGTAACCCCAATGTTAAGTTTCCATGCAACTACCAGCCCCGAAGCCTGGCTGCTTTTCTATATTAGATACACCTTTTCACCTAGCTTTGTCTTGGATGATGGGAAAGATAGCTCTTCATTCAGTATATTCTTTTTTCCTCACCCTGTAAATAAGGTAAAAATTCAGAATTGTGACAACTTCTGGGTACTTTGGAAGATATTTACTTACTAGGAAACCAGAAATGGTATAAATTATGTAAGTTAGATCACTCATTATATATGAGGACCCAGAGCTAATTACAATGACCAGAGACAGTCACCTCCAAAATGCCGCACTCACTTAAAGAGACTCTGGCATGAGGAAAATGGGACTCATTCATTTTCATCAAAAGGGAGTAAATTCTTCAAACATTGGCCCCTGGGACAAAATAGGTTAAGGGACTCTGGACAATGGAATAATTCACTTTAAAAAATGAAACACACTCTCTGCTTTGAAGATGTTTGCTTTTGAATTATGAAACCCGGTTGCTTGTCAAACATCTCTACCTCTCTACTCCCTTCCATCTTAAGGTATTTGCCTCTACCCATCCTGTTCTCCTTCCCCTGCCCAGCTACCCTTTTCCACCTCCCAAAATATTTCTAGATTGACAGAGGAAGGTAACAATAGACTTGCTCCCCTGATGGTTACTTGGTACTTTCCCCTCTGGCCATTGTTGGAATAGCACTATTTCCACAATTCTGTTCCACACCCTTTAGGAAGCTGCCATTTTGAAATAGGTTAGGCAGAGTAGGGCTTGGAATTAAATGTCCCTGAGCCAAGTGTGTGTGCCAAGACAAGCACAGATAGGCAGCCCACCAGAGGCACAGAGAGGGGTATAGTCCCCTGACTGCTATTGCAGTGTGCAACCAAGAGATGGGGTCATATGCCCATTATTTAGGTCCAATGAGGCCTTTTTCCAAATCCACTAACAGGATATGAAGTTTCAGATTTCCTTCCCTGGGCAGGGCTTTTAAAAATAAATTCTGAATGAGACCTAATTAATGGTCCCATGACCTTCTGCATGATGTCTCCTCTGAAAATGGCTTCTCTTCCAACCATGTTTTGAGCTTGTTAGCTCAAGCTGCCTTTTACAGCACAGAAGAGCAAGAGCACCAGAGGAGTACTCTTCACATTTTTCTTACTTGCCTGCCTGCCTCCTGGGAAGTTCCCAGTCTCATACCCATAACATGATTGTGCCTTCACAATCAAGCCACTGCAGCCTGCCAGTCTAGCTGGCACACCCCCGATACTGCGCACTGTGGAGAGTGGGTTGTCATTCTGCAAGCTTGCAAGGGCATTTGAGGGAAACTCCTCTGAGTGCTTTCCTGGCCTCATGCCATGCTCAGAGGCGAAAATTAAAATTTGAACTAGCAGAGGATCCAGAGTTGTTCATGTCCTTGAAGCCTGACTGAGGGCTGAAGGGTGCTGTGACAGCAGCACCAGAAACCAACCCAGGGTCTTTGTCCAGTATTGAGGTGTACTGCAGAGAGCCTAAGCACCATATGTACTTTGTAGAGGTTTTTATTTTTTCAGTCAGAGCCAAGGCCTACAAACACAAACTTTCTACCAACAACAGTTTTGGTAGGAAATCTACCTAAAGCTAACTCCCCAGGCTTTTGAAAGGGAATTGTAGGACACTGAACTTGTTTGAATGACAAACTTTTAAAAAGATTATGGTTATGATTGCCAGATTTAGCAAATTAAAAAAAAAACAGTATACTCAGTTAAATTTTAATTAAAAACAAGCAATAAATAATTTGGTAAATGAATATACTGAGGGGACATACATATACTAAAGTGTTCATTATTTATCTGAAATTCAAATTTAACTAGATGTCCTATATTTTGGCAACCCTACTCCTGGGAACAAGGAGCAGGAACAACCCTTTTTAAAAGCACCTCTTCTAGGGCAGAGGGGTAGCTCAACGATAGAATGCTTGTGCTTGACCAAGGCCCTTGGTTTGATCCCCAGCACAGCAAATAAATAAATAAAAGCACCTCTCTACCATCCCCTACCTTTTATGCACATCCTAAGGGAATAAGGGGAGGATTCTCCCATAGACTGTTAAGTAGAGAGGAAAACAAGGCCCTTTCTGACCTTTGTTTATGTTTTCAATGTACTATTTCCTTTCACTTCATTACTTAATTCCAAAAAACTAATATTGGTAGGAAATTACTCCTTTTGAATGACCATCTTGGGTACCAGAGACCATGCTCTTTGCTTTCTGCCTCCAGATTCTCTGCCTGATTTGCCTAGGTTGCCCATTTTGTCCCATTACCTTTATTTAATGAGGTTAATAAGTAACCTCAACAAAACTCCAGCCAGAGAGTCCTCGCCTTCCCTGGTCTCTTTGCACCTTATCCACCTGTTCTACCCTGCCCTCAAGAGGCAGTAATCGTACCTCAAAACCTGGTCTCTAAGGCCCTGGCTCCTCTGGCCTGGATTCTCCATCCACTTTGCATGTTGTGACAATGCAACAACATTTGCAACTGACTGCAACTGTTTGCCAGTCAGTATAATTTTTTTGGTTGTTTTAGCCCTTTTCACAGCCAGGTGGTTCCTTCTATCTGCTCTGCTCTCTACCCCCTTCAGAAAGGCAAAACAAAAAACAGACTTTATTATTCTCTAGGAAAGTTGTACATTGGATGTTTGACACTTGTTAGACAACATGCAGATTTGGTTTAGTTAGATCACAGAACATACCCCTTATCCCAAACTTTATTCTTTAATAATAATTACACACAAAGAGCTATTTTCCAGTTGGAGTTTATGGCTTTTTTTCCCTTCATTCCCAGTAGCACCATGTCATTTTCTCCATTTTTCCAGTTTTCCCCTCGTCGTCCCACCCCCTACCATCATCACTTGGTTACTAGAAAACCAGAGAACAGTAAACTATTGTTCTCTGACAACAAATTCCAGATAATCATTTGTTCTGATCATCCTACAATACCAGACTCTAAGCCATTTTTCCTCCAGGTTTCATGGAACCAAGACTGGAAGGTTTAGAGGCTTGGCCCTGGTTTAGGTTTCCATCCGTGGCTCTTCTTTCCCAAAGAGAAGCTGTACTTGGTGACACCCAGCAATAACAATTTAGACTGACCCAAGATACCCTATCCCCTCTGATTCTGCCTCACCTTAGCTGAGACCAGATGCTTCTCTAGTCAGATCTCATTCAGCCACTAGAAATCAGTGCATCCTGGAAGCCTTAGCATCATAGCTCTTTGGAGCTCTCCATTAGTCGAGTAAAGATAAAAACAGATGGCATATATCCCTTAAATAAGTTTCTAGCCCCAAGGGCCTCCCTGCCCCCTTTTTAAATTCTGCCTATGAACCCTTAAGTGTACTTCTTCAAATAACTTGGAAGATGAAGACCACTTGGGCAAATAAAAAGCCAACTTTTGACAATTAAGTGTCATACTGACCCTTGAGAAGTTTGTAGACTATTTGAAACTAGTCAGTTATCAAAGTCAAAACTGACAGAAGGTAATAGGATTTACCTGCTTGTACAAATTACTCTAGAACCAAGGTTAGCACATTGTGGCCTAGAGTAAGTCAATTTTGGTCCCTGTTTTTGGTAAATAAGGATTTATTGGAACCTTTGCATGTTGTCTGTGGCTACTTTCATGCCACAGGTGGCCCACAAAATCTACAGAAAGCCTTTGCAAAAAGTTTGCCACCTTCTGCTCTAGAACCATGGTTTTTAATCCTGGTTCCATATAAAAATCACTTGGAGAGTGACACCCACACAATATCTTTGTTTTCATTCTGGTGCTTATGTTTGTACCAAGTCAGAAAGACCCAGATACCTGCAATTTTTAAATAGCTCCCTAGGTGATTCTGATGCACAGAATGGTTGCCAGCTCTCACTGGATGAGAGAAGACAAAAAAAGAAAAAAAATGTCCTTTCTCCCCTCTTCGTCCTCTGCACACTCTCAATAGTGGTAAGCACGTGTATTCACACATACCTTCTCCATTCCCTGCCCTTCCCTGGGGACCAAAGAGTTCCACCTCTGGAATACTGCCCTACCAGCAAGGCCCAGCCTAGAGAGAAATAAGGAACATCTGGGATAGCTTATGTCCACGCACGGCCTGGGACCAAAACCTGGCTTTGGAATTTCTCTTTGACTCACTGAGCACTGCCAACTTGCCAACTTGCATGAGTCTGTCGGGAGTGTTCTCCAGAGAAGCTTGGAGTTTCCTTTTGCCTCCACTTCCCTCCCTCCCCCACAAAGTCCTCCTAATCCAGAAATGGGGCCCTGCCTGCCCTCCCACTTTCAGCTGTTGAAACTCCCAGGTAAAGTTTTAATATAGCACAAGGTGACCCCTGGGAAAGTATGCTTTCTTGGAACTTACAGCTTTTCTCTGACTATTTCTCCTGTGGCCTCTGCAATTTTTCCCCACCCATTTCCCATGAGAGAAGACTAGGTGGCTTGCAGGGAAGGGGAAGAAGAGAGATGAAATAACTGGGGCTTTCTGGGGTTGAAAAAAAATGTTACGTAAACTCCTATTTCCACACAGCACACCATTCCGGAAGGCAAAGGCCTTGTACGCCTGCAAAGCTGAGCATGACTCGGAACTCTCGTTCACAGCGGGCACAGTCTTCGATAATGGTGAGTCCCCATCTGTTGCCAAAGTACCCAGGACAGAAAAAAAAATACTGACATTTTCCAGGTTTGCCTATGGAGAAACCTCAACAGAATGGAGAGGGAGGGAGAGAGAGAGGGAGGGAGAGAGAGAGAAAATGAATGAATGTGAATCTTTTCCCAGAATAAGAGAATGACAACAAGAGTCTGGAAGCATTACCAAGAGTAAACAAGTGTAATCAGCCACTCACTGTGTTTCTGTCTACCTTAAATGAGGTTATGCCTGCAAAGGCCTCAACCCAGTACCAGTACCAGGCAGTAGCTTTCAGTCTAGGGGCTGGACAGAGGGAAGGCTGAAGACAAGGGAATGGGGATGGTATAGTGAGCAGAGCACAGGGTGGAGCTTGAGGCCATCTGCTCTGTGTCTCTTCCTCTTGGGAAGGTGAGTGCACTGTCCTCAGCAGGCAGGAAAGACCAGAGGGCAGGAAATGACAGTCTCTGGGGCAGTGGGCCTCCCTTGGTTCCTGCTCATTCTCCTCTTAATTTTGGGGAACATACAGAAGACTCCCCACAGTTATGCTACCCTGCTCACTGCCAGCTGTCCTGCTCAGGTGTCCTCAGGAATCCAGTGAGAATGGATCCGTGGCACCCCATAAAACTGGGAACTAGTACTTAACTTAGTGCACTCTTTTTCTTGAACCTTTTTATTTACTTTCCTCAAGAACATAGTTTTAAGTGAAGTTGTCATTATTTGTCATCAGTTATCATTTACCTAAAAGAAAAATAAGGATTCTGTTGAAAAAGCCCAAGTCTGTAACAGCTGAGTTTTCCCCAGGAGGCAAAGTTCTCCCCTGGGATTACCCTTCCTGGATCCCTGGGCAAAGGGTCTGTTCTGTTTTTCTTCATAGGAGGCAACAAAGGCTACCTGGTTTCAGAACCTGGACCTTTTCTCTGACTGCCTCCCTGACCTCAGGTAGCAGTCGGCGGGGAGGTCCAGAATTGTCCTGCAGGCAGCCCTGCATTGATCTAGATCCCACTTCCCCCACCTCACTGCCATCTAGCAGTATGTGGTGGGTCTGGACAGCCAAGACACCCAAATAGCATGGAAAAGGCTGAACTGTAGAGCCAAACCATAGCACACGCCTCAGCTTGACCACTTGCTCTTGTGTGACCTCCACAAGTGGTGATGTAACCTCTCTGTGTCCCGGTTCTCTCCTCTGTCTTAGAAGATTACACTGCCTGCCTTAGAGGGGTTGTAAGAGGAAATTGGAGATAATATACTTCACATGTTTGAAGTGGACTTAACATGCATGAAGCACTCAATTATGCTATTATCACTATTATTGTTAGGATCATTACATCCATCTTAGGAAAAGACCCTAACACTCTCAGTTCACAAGGGCAGTTTTTCCTTTTTGGCTAATATGGACCAAACCTGGCTTTTAGCTGGGCTGTAGGCACTCTACTTTGACTCCCTGGGTCCTGGCCATATGTGGAAGGGCCTCACAGTCCAAGTCAGAGCTGAGATGGGCTCCTGAGGACCAGCCTCCCTATGTGCCTAACTCCTGCATTCTCCACAGTAAGCTAGTAATCAAGCCTGGGATGGACAGAATGGGAAACACAATACAGAACACAGGGAGACTCCCAGGTCACACTCAACCCTGGGCCTTCTGGGCCAGCAGGAGTCAGGATGAGCCCAGAACTGCTTGTGCTGCTTTAGCCTTTATGCCCCTTCATGGTTCTCCAACTAAAGCACTGTCTTTAAGCTCTGCTCCATTTACTTTGAATCAGAGAAGCTGCTTCTCTGTCAGCAACTAGTGCTTTCAGACCCCAGCAGACTGGCAAGTACAGTGGGTCTGTCAAAAACCGTATCATTGATGAATGTCACCCACCCCAGCCCAGGTGGGGGAGTACAGTGCAGCCATAATATGATACAGCTTTCATGACAAACAAACCAGAATGGGTTGCATTGCTGGGCCTCTGTTCCCCTGTGGCAGCAGGAGCAGGGCTCTTGCCCATAGATGATCAGATCTGACGTTTGTAGCGAATCCCAGGCTAAAGCTGTGCTCCTGCCGGCTGTTTACTCTACCCACACTGAGGACCTCTGAGTGGGGTGTGTATGTGCTTACATGTCTTACTTGCAGTTCTTTTTATTAAGTGTGCCCTTCTTCCATTTTTTACAAGTTTATTGAGATATCCATTTTAAAAAGTTTTCCATTTAAAATGTACTGTGTAATTAATTCAGTGGCTTTTTTTCTTGCAGTATTGGGGGGGTTAAACTTAGGGCCTCATACTTGCTAGTCAGGTGCTCTACCACTTGAGTCACACCCTGAGACCTTTTTGGTTTAGTTATTTTTCGGATGGGGTCTCATGTTTTTTCCCAGGGCTGGCCACAGAGAGACCTATGCTTCTAAGTAGCTGGAACCACACATGTACACCACCATACCCACCCTAATTCAGTAATTTTTAGTATATTCAGAGCTCTGCAACCATCACCACTATCTAATTCCAGGACATTTTAATCAACCCACAAAGAAACCCCATACCCTTTAGCAATCATGCCGCACTTACCCCCAGCTATCCTCCATCCAGCCTAAGGGAACTACTGCTAATCTATTTTCTGTGTCTGTAGACTTGCCTGCTCTGGCATTTCATACAAATAGTATTATACCATGTGTGATATTTGTAGCAGGCTTTCTTTGCTTTATATGTTTTATATGCTATGTTATAGCATGTATCAGAGCTCTATTCTTTTTATGGTTAAATAATATTCCATTGTGTGGATATATCAAATTTTATTTAAACTTTCATAAGTTAATTATCCCCACTTTTTGACTATTATGATATTGCTGTTCACATTCATGTACAAGTTTTTTGAGGTCATAAGTTTTCAGTTCTCTTGGTAATGCACCTAGCAGTGGGATTGCTGGATTTTACTGTTTGAGGAAATGCCAAACTATTTTACCAAGAGGTTTCACCATTTTACATCCTCATTTTCATTTTTAAGTCTCTTTTTGAAATCACTTAAATAGTTAATCAAAAGTGAAAAGAAAGAAAACATACTTTGGTGATTTTTAATTGCCAGGACTTCTTCCTTGCAAGTACTCTGCCTGGCATGCTTTATTAGCACTCCCACCTCACCACTTGGCATCATAAACCCTATAGAGAAAAATGAGAGCTTGAGTCAGAGACCTGCCCCAGTCTTCCTGTGATCTTCAGGAGTCACAGCCAAGTTCACTGACACTAGTTTGTTTTTAACCAGCAATGTCAGTGACCTTTCAAACTCCCTGAAGAGCAGGGCCATTAAACCCGAAGGGAAACACCTCTCACTGTTGACTGAGCTGCAGTCAAAGATGAACCCGACAAAATGTTAATCCACTTTCGTGTTTGGTTTGGCTGATAATATTTCATTGGGTCCTATCCAGAAGGACGTGCTACATATACCCTATTTGCCCTTCCCGTCACCTCTACAGGAGAAGCACTTAACATGGTAGGCAGGGGTCTGTTTCCTTGTTCTGCCTCTCATGTGTTTAGTGCTGGAGGTATTAGGTAGGACTCTTCAGCTTGGATTAAACTATCAGACTGATTGGAAGAAAGAAACTTCCTCATAACAGTTTTAGATTGCTCAGCACAGGTGTGCATGTTGTGTTTTGGGTCTGTTTTAAGGAATCAGGAGGAAGAGGGAGGGACTCATGGAGGCGAAAGTCTGCCGTTTCATAATGATTAAATCTCTCAGCCTTGGGATTCCAGGGGCTTGGCTGCAACTCTGGAGCAGCTGCTTAGTCACCTCTTGGACTTTTGCAGTGGGGGATGGAGATGTGATACTCGGAAATAACTCAATGTCAGTACTGACCGATCTACTAGGAAAATGTCCACTAGAGGAGGAGTGCCTCAGACAGTAACTGGCTGAGAGACGGCTGTGTTCTCAGGAACATTAGGCACCTGGAAGCAACATGATTAGAGCTGCCTGAAAATTCACATGGCTGTCACTAGAATTGGCTTCTTGGGATACTGTTGTCATGGCTTGAGGTGAGCTAGATCCCTCATTGCTGTGTAGGGGTGCAGTGCCATGTAGGGGTGTCCTAGGTGCCTTTGCTGGAGGAGAGCATCTTCACCAGAGTGCCCCTGAGCTGCCTGGGAGTAGAGCGGGGTTGTAGGAAAGCAACTTGGGGGACTCCCAGCCTCCCTCCCTGTCTCTATTGCCACACCCACACTCAGCCCCCTCTTCTGCCCCAAGCATTTCCACCAACCTCTGATGGGCCTTGTGCCTCCCCTGTGCCCCCTCTGCCCCTTACACCTGTTAGCTACAGAGCAGCCAGAGTGACCTTCAAACACTAGAAAGTGCATCATGTCACTCCCCTGCTTGTAGTACTCCACTGGCCTCTCTTGTTCTGAGAATTATTTACAAGGCCCTTGTTGTTCAGCTCCTGCCCCTCTGACCTCTTCTTATACTTGTCACACTAGTCTCACAGGTCACTTCATGTTCTGAAATGGGGTTGACACACTTTGACCTGCTGGTCACATCCAATCTGCCACTTTGTTTTTGTAAATAAAGTTTTATTGGAACAGCCAGCCATGAGTTTCTGTTTACATGTTATCTAAGGGACCACAGTAGCCGAGTTGAAAAGAGAGGCACATTTGCTATCTGGCCCTTTGTGAGAAGTTTTCAGAGCACTGTTGTAAAATGACACCAAGCTTTTCCACATCTTAGGGCCTTAGTAGTCTCCCATTCCCAGGAATGTTTTTTGTTGTTGTACTTGTTTGGTTTTCTGGCATTTCAGGATTTTTTTTGATAACTCAGGGCTTTGTGCTTTCAAGGTAAGTGCTCTTCCACTTGAGCTACACTCCAGACTTTTTTGCTTTAGTTATTTTTCAGACAGGGTCCCTTGCTATTTCTCTGGGCCAGCCTTGGATAGTGATCCTCCTACTTCTGCCTCCTGCACAGCTGGGATTATAGGCATGAGCCAGCATGCCTGGCCTTCTAGCTTGAAGGGCCCCCCTTGTTCCCTCTGATTCTTCCCTTAGTCTGCAGGTCCCACTTCTAATGTTTGTAGATGTTACCACCTCAATACTGTGCTGTTTGAATAGCTGGCCCAGAAGGGAAAAATGTCTGAAAGTGGTGGACATAGTACATCCTGTTGAGCAACAACTCAACTAGGAGCTGTGCATAAAGTAGGAGAGGTCTGTGTGTGTGTATATATGCATTTGGGTAGTAGGTGGTTTATTCCTTCTAGGTCATTTGTTTTGGGAAATGGATTTGATTTGCTTGTCTTGGTTCTGAACAGCTGAGATTTCCTGAAGCTTCAGTGGCTGTGGAGACCAGGCCCTCACCTGAGTTTTACCAGGAGAGAATCTGATGAGCTGTAAGGGTCCCCTGCTGACTCTCCTGACCTGAGCATTTATGATGTGCCTAGTTTTATGCAGAATGCTTTATCCATGCTGGCTTCTTTAATCTACACAAGAATCCACTAAATGGGGAAAGATTTTATTACCCCTTTAGAGGCACAGAAATGGAAGTATTCTTGGCAGCTTCAATTGGGTGGGCAGGCAGAGGACAGAAGTATCTGGGTGTTGCTAAGGGGCAGCTTAGGAGAGCTTTGGTAACTGGAGAGGCCACGTTGTCTCTAAGTGCTTCTAAGTGCTCTCCCATGTACTTCTTTTCAGACTACTTGTTGTGTGGGTTGCCATGTATCTACAGTGTCCTTGCCTTGGCTTTATTTGTGAAGCCTGCTAGTGGAAAATTATGTACCATTTTGGAGGCCAGCTAATAGATGTTTAATAGTCTTTTTGTAAGGAACCATTTAAGGTCTGTACAAGTCTTATCTTCTCTATGCCTCAATGCCAGTCCTTTTGCTCTCCCTCCATTTACTTTCTTTGGTTTCTTCTTATCACTTCTTTCCCTATAAACTGAAACTAGAATTATAGTAGTGTTGGGACAGAAATGCTTTTCTAAAACAAGCTCAGGAAGTCACTTAATTAGGCCAGGAAGGGAACAAGGGGAGAAATTCATTCTTTCCTAAGAATCTCTGATAATTGGAGTTTTCCTAATACATTTAGAGTAAATGCCCTGCCTTACCCCAGAGCGATCAGTGTATAAACCATCGGTTCATAAGCACAAACACCGCCCACCTCTGAGTCCAACAATTACCTCTCTTCCTTCCTACCATTGACTACTTTGCAGACTCAGCTGGATTTTTCCAAAATCTTTATACTATCAATGGTTTCCATGGAGAGGGATTATGATGTCACAGAAATATACCTATATTCTCTGGATCTTGAAAAATCAAATGGTCAGTAACTTTGAAAGTTGCAGCAGGAGAAGGAAGGGGACACTTTTCAGACTTGCACATAGGAAAGGGGGAAATTCTAGAGTTCAGGAAAGAAAAATAAGAAAGGATGTGGGTTGAATAAAAGCTGGATTTTTCCAAAATCTTTATACTATAAATGGTTTCCATGGAGAAGGATTGTGACGTCACAGAAATATATCTATATTCTTTGTATCTTGAAAAATCAAATGGTCAGTAACTTTGAAAGTTGCAGCAGGAGAAGGAAGGGGACACTTTTCAGACTTGCACATAGGAAAGGGGGAAATTCTAGAGTTCAGGAAAGAAAAATAAGAAAGGATGTGGGTTGAATAAAAGCTGGATTTTTCCAAAATCTTTATACTATAAATGGTTTCCATGGAGAAGGATTGTGACGTCACAGAAATATATCTATATTCTTTGGATCTTGAAAAATCAAATGGTCAGTAACTTTGAAAGTTGCAGCAGGAGAAGGAAGGGGACACTTTTCAGACTTGCACATAGGAAAGGGGGAAATTCTAGAGTGCAGGAAAGAAAAATAAGAAAGGATGTGGGTTGAATAAAAGAGGGCCTCCAAAGGCTATAACATGAAAGAAAGAAAACACAGAGGGAATTTGCAAGGAAATCAGAAGCAGAGGGTAAGGACTTAAAGGAAAGCAAAATGCATGATGAAGAGTTACATATCAGTAAAGACTAGGTCTTCACAGTCTCTCACCTGTAGTGGAGTTGATACTGAGTAGGGAGGTGAGTACATAAATGGACAGGTGGGTGGATGGATTGATGGATGGATGGATGGAAGGAAGGAACACCACAAATGTTGACCTAACCTAAAAAATATAAATTGGTTGCTTATAGTTTAAACCAGGAATTTCAGAAAGTCCATGAAACCCCTAAAATTACAGATGCAAATATTTGAATGTCTGGGTTTGTTTCTCTTTTTGTTGTGGAAAAAGTTCAGAATAGCCTTCATCAGAAGGCTTCCATTCCCCAAAATGTTAAGAACCTCTGGTTTTAGCTAGTACTAGAATTACGTAACATGACCTAGAACTGCACTCATTCCCCAAACTTCCTTCACACACACACACACACACACACACACACACACACACACACACACACACACACAGCACGCAGTGCACAGCACACATTCTCCTCCTACTGTCTGTAACATCATCTCTTCTGGCTCTCTCTCCCTTTCCTGTACAGTTCATCCATCTCAGGAGCCTGGCTGGTTGGAGGGGACTCTGAACGGAAAGACTGGCCTCATCCCTGAGAACTACGTGGAGTTCCTCTAATGTGGGCCCCAGCAGAGCTGCTGAGCTTTCTGTGGTCTCCATGACAACCGCAGATTCCAGTGTTGTGGGCCATTCCCATTGAGAAAGCAGGAAGACTGACTCTATTGCTACTTGTCAACATGAATGTGTCTGGGAACTTGTGTCACCCTTCTCCCTGATCATCTCAGCTGACATGACAATACTACAAGAAGCAAAAGTCAATCAGCAAAAGCCATTTGATTTTGATAATCTAGAGAAAGTCCCATAAAGTCGTGTTCTTACGAGTGCTCCAAATAGGGAGTGCTGATTTTGTTTCAATAGTCACCCAAACCCCTAAACTTAGGAAAAAAGTAAGTTAGGAATAGTCCCCAAGAGCACACAACATAGCTGAGTTTGACAGGGAAGGCAAAGAAACAGGCACAAGATCCAGGACAGATCCACTGCTTTTGTTTACAGCAGACACTCTTGCTCTTCCACCTCCTGATGCTGGAGACCCACAGTGCTGCAGGCAGCTGGGTCTGTTTGCACACAGGACAGAGAGGGGTTACAGCCCTGGTTATGTAAGCTCAAATCTCTCACCCTCCCTAAAGCAGCCCTTGGCCCATCATCAACAAAAGTCAGTTCAGTCCTCTCATGCAAAGGAGCTCACACACCCCACGTTCACTCCTCCCAAGCTAGAAACTTCTCTGTCACTGAGGACTGCTATCACCTAGTAACCATGGCAACCCAACCTACGCTCAAACCAAATCAAAAAAATAACACACTATCTTTGCATGACATACTTTTTTTCCCCCTGTATTGGTAGGTTTTTTTTTGAATGGTCTTCCAACAATCTGAAGCCGAGGATCAAAGAATTGGAGCAGTCTACCTGGGGCAGACAGGATAGCAGCCAGGGATTGCTCCCTTCGCAATGAGTTTCAGCAGCATCAGGATATATATTTGGAGCAACTGCTAGTAACCTTTTGAGATTAATAGTTCTATTCTTCATGCAATGAGTATTGCTTTCTAGGGGGCAAATACCACCTCCCAGTGGGTGACACTCTCTGACTAGTTCCCTCATGTCCTCCCTGCTTTGCCTTTGCCATTGTCTATTTCTGGCCCATCACTGAGCAGCCACCTTGCAAGTCTTTGGGCCACTGAGCACTGGTGCCCTATGGACTTCAGGGTGATTCCTGACCCTATGGCCTAGAGTTACATTCACTGCCACCCAGAAAAGGGAATTGATTCTCAGGCTTTCCAGGCATGAGACTAATATCATAGGCCATTGTGATTAAGGAAGACACCAAAAGATTGGGGTGTGGATGGGTACCTTCTAAGAAAGGGAATTTCCTTGTCGGAAGGGGCTGGGTCTTGTGGAAGACTGATTGGATGGGGAAAATTCCATCTGGACATTTCATATTCTTTTGGCCTCTAAAGAACAGAGTCATATCTTCCACATGTGAATGCCTTGCAAGAGGGACTCTGGACAAACTAAACTGTTATGTTTCCCAGGAGCCTTTTGGATGGCAGCATTGCACCAGTGTTTCCTGCTTCTGGAATTCCGTTAGGGACCTTTAATGAAGAAGAAAAGAAAAACTTGAATTGTGTTGAATTACTGTATCTTTTACTTTTTTTTAAAATGATAAACTTGTAAATAGAGTGATTTGAAATACTATATGGCAAAGTTTTATATTTGATATTCTTTAAGCTAGTTGTTCCATACAAAATGGCTTTCCTTGAGGAACCAGTGTGTTTAAAAGAGAAAGAGAGGAGGCAAGGTTGAAGAGCCAAGGTCATTGTCCCTCTCTGGCCAAGCAAAAAGAGAAGATATTTCTGTGTGCTGTCTGTTGGCTCCTGTTAGTGAGCCTGACAAATCAATAGTGTTCAGTCTTCTTCATCTCTGTGTGTTTGTGAGCATTCCTTGGACTTTGGATTTGGATTTGGAAAGAGCATCTTCAGGCAGTGAGTTATCAAAGAACACCTACGTAGCAGTAAAATGAAGCTCAGGATTTAAATAGGCGGGGTCAGGGGTGGAAGTTTTTTGTTTTGTTTTTCTTCTCAGGTATATTTCTTGGTACCCCAGGATAACAGGACAGAAGAAGATGAACTATACTCCTTACTCCTTAACCTTGCTCCACATCATCTAAGGCTTTATAAATGAGGCCAAGCTAGCTTGCAATTTTGTGTGTGTGTGTGTATGTGTGTAAGTTTAAAAAAAAAAAAAGGTTGACTGCTTAAATCTTTAGGTCTTGATGTGCTACTGCTTCCCTTTTTTGTAAATATTTTTCTGCTCTTTCCTTTTACCTCTAGATTATCTGTGACCCCAAAATGACAAAAAGACCCCAAGAATAATGTAGATGGTGCCATTGCAGTTTTAAAGGTGGCTTTAGAGTTAACAGGAACTCATCATTGTAATTCACTATTCACTTTCCCAGCTCAAGAATTATACAGCTGTTATCTGGGATCTTGCCCCAGGAACAAGCGAGACACTAGCCTTGAATAAGGGAATAAAAATTAAGCATGGACAAGACCAAGGCAGGACTCAAGAAAGCTATCAGTGAAAGTTCAAGAAGAAAGGGAATATACCAATAGGCACCAGAACTGTTCCCCTTAGTCTTGGGAACAAAAAGAATTTTGGAAAGGGATCTGGGGTATACACATTCATGTATCATGTGCTTTCCAAATTGAGCCCAATGCAATGCTTTTGATGTCTTTGAGGCTTTAGATTGTCACCTGCCTCATCATAACTGAAACACACTGTAGATACTTAGCCCCAGATTGACTACTTGGAAGCATGTCCCTCTCTCCTGAGTTGGCCCTGATTTGAGCTGCTACCAATGGGATATTTAAATCAACCTCTTCCCAGCTTCCCTGAGGCCATGCAGGGCCTATGACAGATGGCCACTCTGTTTCCCTTTATCCAGTCAAGCTTCCCTCCTCCCTGTTAGATACAGAACTAGAGAAACTCTTCAAAATATGAGCCAACAAGTAGGAAGGAACTTGAAGATTAAAAATAATATTTTCCACTCTCCATGCCCCTATCCCTAACTCTCTTTTGCTTGAACAGGAAACTTTGGGGCAGGTTGGGGGAATGAAATGTATCAGTATAGAAATGTATTATTAACCCTAAGATACTAGGATCAGTCATGGCCTGAATCTGTCTGGTATTAAATTCAGTCTCTTGCTTCTCCTTCAGATACTCCCAGAATTCCATACTTGACAATGCCATGTCATCAGAAGATAACTAGTTTCAAATGCTTGCCCCTAGGCAAGTAAAATCCTGACTTGCTCAAGACTAATGAAATTCTGTCCTGCTTTTCAAAATATATATATATTAAGGATGGACCATATATAGTACAAACTTGACTGGTATCCTAGAATTGGAGCCAACTTTTAGTATTTCTAAAGCCAATGTGTGTTTTTTTATGAGTGCCTTTTTTGGACAGAGAGGCCAAGAAAGAGAAAGAGAAAATGAGCAATAAGTATTGGCAATTGCATTAGCAAGATAAAGCCATGCTAGTGTCAGCTCATTTCAGGTACTTTCCCAGGACTCCCGAGTTGTGCGTGTCAACCTCTAACTTGAAGGAAAGTCCTCCGTTAGGTGAGTTTGTCTTTTGAAACATTGGTAACCCCAGTTAGGCTAAAAGCTGTCTTGACAACAGAGGCTCCAAATGCATCCGTAGTTAAAGGGCAAGAAGCAGAGAGAGCACTGAAGATAATTGTCTGTTCATGACCATCTGTTGGCACCTTTCATCCTCTGGCTTGTGTTTGCATAAACAAGCCTGGGTCACCAACTTGTTACAGACATGGGCCACTCAAGTAACCCAATGGCTACCATGACACCCAATGTTTGCTCAGTATTGAGTGCTTTATAAGCAACCTCATTGCCCAAGTAGGTAGCCAATATCGAAGGAACCAAGGATCCTCTTAGCTACCTGACTTTCAAAGGAATGTCCTAGATGTTTTAAGGAGTTATCTGTCATCTCTGGCAAACTTGACAATATTTGGCTATGTTGACAGCCCTGCCCACACCCCTTTAAAGCCAGCGGCTGCCCTCTCACACCCTGTGCTGGTGTTCAAAAAATGTGTCTGGCCGTGCTCAAATGTGTTTAGGAGCCATGCTGATGTGCTGGGTGCTGAACTACTGCTCTGTAATTATAGCATCAAAATGACAGCAGCACAGAGCAGTGAACCTGGCACAATCCTGCAGCCTGCCCGAGACAAGGCTCCAACAAGTAATAATTAGCTTTCTTCCTTTTGCCATCTACAGTACTTGTCTACCTTAAAGAGCCTCCCAAAGCATATGGAGAGGTCAGATAGAGAATCCTAATGTCATTCAGAAACAGTCCTTGCTGAAATGTAGCCTTCTAATGGAAGCCCCTATGTTCATTGGAGAAAAAGTATCAGATAGAAATTAAAACCCAGGACCAGAGGAAAAGAAAGGTGAACCATACTAAGGAATTTTGGACTTTTTAGAAAGATGAAATGTTCTTAATGGGAGGAGAAAGTAACAGAAAAATTTCAGAACTAATATTTTTACAAAAGTAAAAATGAACATTACAAAATGAAAATATCTGTCAGGGTAATATGTTTTAGAGAGCAATGATCGAGCCCAGTCCTAGACCCATGGAAGGGTAGAAATTAACTATTGTACAAAGTTCACACGAGTGTAGTAACTAAGAACCCGAGTATTGATAATCAAAATGTTGGAGTTCCCCAGAGGAGCTGCACAGAGGCTAAGACACCTTGGCCATTGTACATCAACCATTCCTGCAGAGTCAGCCAAATGGACTCCCATAAGCAGATTTCTCCATCAACCTCATATCTATAAGAAAGATACTCCTGATGATTTCAAAGTAGGGTGGTGTGTGTGTGTGTGTCTGTGTGTGTGTGTGTGTGTGTGTGTGTGTGTATACAGCACAGACCTGCGTACAGCACATCCATAATAAAACAGACTCACATAAAGCCCCAAACGAGCTGGCATTTCTTGAGCCTTACAGCCTTGAAGATTTGGAGGTTGAGAATTAGAAAAACAAGAGACTAGTGATTGCCTAGCAAAAGATCAAAGATGTAAATTAAGTGCCATTTAAAAACTGTGTTCATATTTATCAAATAGTTATCTGCAGCTATGTTCTTTATTAACTTATTAAAAGTCATATAGAAAAAAATCAAACCCATAAATGCTTTGTAGCTAATGCTAGGCCAGTGTTTCAAAGCACTCTAAAGATATTTTGTCCATATTTTGGAAAAGAAATAATTTGCATGTTTAATTCATAATTTAGGCTACCTTTGAGTATACTGTAAAGTGCTGTGTGATATAATACCAATAAAGTACTTATAAAATGGCACTTAAATGTTTTCTTTTAAAAAAACAATGCACTGTTTTAAACTTCAGTATTGAAAAATAGTGCATAGAATCAAATTCCATAATTAAAAAGTTATCTATGACTAGGATAGAACCTTTCCCTTTTGTTAGAAAGCAGTTTTGCCATGTTCAGGCTATTTTAAAAATGTGCTTTTGTGTCACTATGCGTATCTATAAAGAAAATACTATTTCAAGTGGCGTCTAAAACGGCTTTCTTAAATTTGATTGGCTTATGTGACAATCCCTATGAAATGAGTGGAAGTATGATTTTTGAATTAAATGATTTTTCCATTTGGTGGTCTATGTTTCTTGAATATCTGATAGTTTTGACTCAAAACATATTTTAATATTTCTTCAAATTAAGCAGATAGGCTATGATCAAAGGTCACAAGTGTAGGCTCCAGCACTTACTGGTGACAACCACGGGGATGGCTTTTTAGGAGCTCCAAGGAGTTTTGTTTTCCGTTTAAGAAGAGGTCAAGTGCTACTATACTTGAGAATGAGCTAATCAGGCATATTACACAATTGAGCCCCAAAAGTAATATCCCACATAACAGTTCTGACTTTTCTCCTAGAACACACATTTTATTCAACTACTCTTTTTTCTGGATCTTTGTGAACACAAGTATGGAATAATCAGAAATCCAAAACTCCTATCACTGTGTTTTCTCATTCATCGAATCATCTTGACTTGTAGCCTGGGACCCCAGGTTTGTACTAAGCTCCTAACATCAGCTGGAAGCTCAGAGAGCTCAGTGTCATCTCTGAAGCAGAGATCTTGGGGGAGCTGGAGGATTGAGAGTGAGGCTTCTGACTTCTGAAGCTTGCCTGGGAAGGAGGAGGAAGAGACATGCGGTCTCTGTTGGTGCCTGGGCCTTAGAAAGAGGTGGCTATTTGAATGTGTCATGAGCTGTCTATGTTGTCTTCCTTTGCTACTTAGGACCCTGGTTTGCCTCTGTGAACAGCACAGACTCACAGAACCCACCAAGCTTGCAGGCCATTCTGGAGATCTCACCCAGCACCAAAGCCCCCTATATGTGTGGGGGCTCTCTGTACCCAGGTGAGGCTATCTGAGTATGGCACACATAGTATCTAACACCCTTGTGGAGAGAGTGAAATGTGTGGTGTGAGTTTATATCTTATCTGTGGCCTTAACCTTTTTAACAGACTTTCTAGTCATTTCAACTTTCACATCTTCCTAACATGAAAGATTTTCATTTTCAGTTCACTCTTAGCAGCCTCTCAGAGCAGAGCTCAAACTGTGTCACGTCCTGTGGTTTGCTCGGTGTTTCTCTCTTGTTAGTTCTGGCTGCATGTTTAGTTGTAAGAGCACCTTGGTTAGAAATGGGCTTGATTGACACTTGAAATTAAGTAAATGTTAGACAGTGTGTGTGAAGAAAGATTTTTTTCTCAGACCTCAAACATGCTCGCTCTCTTGAGAATTATGTCATATGACTCTAATTTCTTCTTTTCTCAGTTCTTTCTCAGTCTCTACTCAAATACCACATCTCTCTCCTACCCCAATGTGTCAATGTCATTGGCTTGCCCTGCTTTTAATAGCACTAACCTAAGCTGCAACTAATTAACTGTGCTGAGTTAATCAGTATTGGCTAACTCCGCCTGCAGAGCAGCCTAAGGAAGGTCTAACCAAGGCAGTAACTGCTCAGGGTGGGTGAAGTTACTCAGGGGAGGCCATGCCTACACCACAGTGCACCTCTCAAAATGTCACCCTGTTACCCAGCCAGCATCAGACAGGAGGGACCAAAGAAGGAAGGTTTTCCTTAAAATGATCAAAACCGTATCCCATATCTCCTGGCGACTTCTGTGACACCGTGCATCTATCCAGTTTCTTATGTAAT